TTAATTTGGATTTGTCTGTGCATGTTTTTTTTACTCTCATAGATTTTGTTACCATTGCCATGCATTATACGACTGATAGATTGCAACGGTTGGAGTTAAAAATCATCATATGTGTTCTACTGAAGAAACAACGTCACCTACATCTTGGATGCCCTGGGGGTAAGCAGATAAACATCACATTTTCATTTTTGGGTGAACTATCCCTTTAAAGCATGCAGGACTTTGCATGCTGGAAGAGCTACAAGTCATCTCTATAAATACTACCATGCTAAAAATAAGACCAATTTAAACTGTATTATGGTCTTTACCGGTTGTAGTTAAACAAGTTGAGTCTGCTACTGGCACAAGATTGTTAAAGATAATATGTGCATTTTATATTTTTTTTTTGCAATAACATTTTTGAAATAGTTTCTCGTCTCCCATTGTAACATACAGGTTTATTGTGTTGTTTGAGTATCTGGCACGATCACAACATTGCTCGGTCTCTTCTAATAGCCCAGCATAGCAACACAGACTCAACACTGGCTCTATGACTAACCAATAGCAATGTTCGGGAAACCTGTTTTCACACAGCAGTTTCTTTTAGTGATGCTACACTTTCAGAAAAAAAAAGTGTAAAAACATTGTAGCTTGTCACTGGGGAATTAGCCTCAAAAGGACATCTTTGTACCTTATTTACCCCTGAAAGGTACACAAGTGTCCCTTAGATGAGGTATTAAAAAGTTAGTTCACCCAAAAATGAAAACTAGCCCATGTTTTACTCACCCTCATGGCATCCTAGGTGTATATGACTTTCTTCTTTCAGATGAATCCAATCGGAGTTATGTTAAAAATTGTCTTTATTCTTCTAAGCTTTATAATGGCATGGGCAAGTGTTTTTGTTCAACAGTCTAAAAGTAGTCAAATAAAGTGCGTCCATCCATAATAAAATGTACATCACACGGCTCCGGGGCCTGAGTAAAGGCCTCCTGTAGCGAATAAATGCGTTTTTGTAAAAAAAAATCCATATTTAAATTGATATAAATAGTTTTGTGTAACTTCCGCTAACTGTTGTATGCGCGTTCACAAGAGACTACCTTTCCGGCGGATGACGTAGGACGTAGGCGTAGCGCATGCACGTGTTAGTCTTGCGAAAAACCAACATTTGTTAACAGGATCAAAGGGAGCAAATTTTCTTCACTTTAGCAAAGGAAAACCAGTCTTCTCTTGGCTTATATCGAAATCCTCCGACATTTTTCTTTATAAATCCTCGTTTTGTACTTCTAATTCATGACCGGCGTTTTGTTATGTTCTCTCTCCGTCGTGCTTCCACGTTCGTCACTAATCCTCGGCGCGTGCGCGACGCATATGTCCGACGTCATCCACCGGAATGGCATGCATGTATGACAGATAGCAGAAGTGAGAAAAAGGTGTTTATATCGTTTTAAATATGGATATTTTACTTACAAAAACACATCGATTTTCTACAGGAGGCCTTTGCTCACCCCCCGGAGCTGTGTGATGTACGGTTTAATATGGATGCATGCGTTTTATTTGACTACTTTTGGACAGTTGATCAAAAACACCCGCCCACTGCCATTATAAAGCTTGGAAGAACAAGGACAATTTTTAATATAACTCCGACTGGATTCGACTGAAAGAAGAAAGTCATATACACCTAGGATGCCTTGAGGGTGAGTAAAACATGGGCTAATTTTCATTTTTGGGCGAACTAACCCTTTAAGTTTTCCCTTTAAGGCGACTACACGCAATTTTTTTTCAGTCAGAAATCTCCACTTCAGCAGCACTTGCATAAAGCAAACTTTACAGTTTTATTCCTATCTATATGAAAAGGGATTTGCTCATATATCATTTGCCTGGTTTAGCTTTTTAACATTTTATTCCTCAAACCATGTTGAAAATGTATGTGTATGTGTTTGTGTGTTTTCTCATTGCTGACAGTATTTTCTGATTTATGGAGTGATAAAAAGATAAATCTAAAATCCCCTCTGTAAAAACCTTTAACTTAAAAACGTCAAACAAGAATTTCAATCCTAGTTCCAATGTTCATATTTCTGTTCTGGAAGTTTTTGCAAATTAGTGCATATTTAATTAGATAGTAGTTAATTTGCATGTTTAAATATAACATTTCAGAAAACAATTATTTTAATGTACTGTGATTAAATAGTTGGGGGAAGTATGGTGATATCTCTTAATATTTAATAGTTAATATTTTACTATTTTGCCTTAAAGGTTCTGCCCCAGTGACAAGCTGTTGTACCACTAAAGGCACATTGTTCACACACATTTCAGCAATGCAATGCCAGCAATGCCAGCTCAAACCATGATTTTATGAATATATATTTGGTTTAGTATCTCTATAGTTTTACAGTACAATATGGTTGTTTCTTTATTTATTTACTTAAACTTATTTTTTTACTTTCTGTGCCTTTAAAAACAGTTATTTTATTGATATTTTATGCTATATCCTCTGTAGAAGTAATCCAGGCAAAAACAAGGTTTTGTTTTATTTTGCTTTCATTGACCAATCAATTTTTAGCAAAACTTTGTACAAAGATGATTCTCAATTATGTTATGAAAGATATTACAGAATGATTTGTTAGACTATTTGACCTATTTGCTAAAATATATTGTCTTATACAGAGGCACAAGTCTATGGCTGGGTCTCAGGAGGATATGTATTTAATTTATGGAGAACATAATATAGCCTGATAGTTACATACAATAATAATCTGAAAATACTGTTATGTGTCTGTTTAACTGCTTTGATTATGGTTGGTGAGTGTTTATTTGTAGGTTCTGATATCATGACTTCCTGTTATCAGTGCTGACGTACTTGTTTGATGGGCTGAGAAGAGGACAAGCACATGGCTGACAGTCGTCTGCAGTTCCTCTGGTGGCGTCTCCATAATATCCAGGAGCACACTGGTCACAGTACGGTCCGACCGTGTGATCCCTACAGCCCTACAACACACACACACACACACACACACACACACACATGTTGTGTTTCCATGTT